CTTCTTTATCCATTCATGACGATCGATGGACATTTGGGCTACTTCCATAATTTGGCTATTGTAAATAATGCTGCTATAAACATAGGGGTGCATATATCCTTTTGAATTAGTGTTTTTGTATTCTTGTAAATACGAAATTTTTTCATATTCTGGGAAATACCCAGCAGTCCATAGGACTACTGGATCATATGGCAGCTCTATTTTTAATTTTTTTGAGAAAACTCCATACTGTTTTCCAGAGTGGCTGCAGCAGTTCGCATTCCCATCAATAGTTCAAGAGGGTTCCATTCCTCCACATCCTCACCCACACCTGTTGTTTCTCATATTTTTTTATTTTAGCCATTCTGACAGGTGCGAGGTGATGTCACATTGTGCTTCTGATTTGCATTTCTCTGATGATGACTGATGTTGAGCATCTTTTCATGTGTCTGTTGGCCATTGGATGCCTTCTTTAGAGAAATGTCTGTTCATGTCTTCTGCCCATTTTTTAATTGGATTATTTGGGTTTTTGGTGTTGAGTTGTATAAGTTCTTTATACATTTTGGATATAACCCTTTATCGGATATGTCATTTGAAAATATCTTCTCTGATTCAGTAGGTTGCCTTTCAATTTTGTTTATTGTTTCCTTTGCTGTGCAGACGCTTTTTATTTTGATAAAGTCCCAAGAGTTTTATTTTCGCTTTTGTTTCCCTTGCCTCGTGAACGTATCTAGAAAAACGTTGCTATGGCCAATGTCAGAGAAATTATTGCCTGTGCTCTCTTCTAGGATTTTTATGGTTTCAAGTCTCACATTTAGGTCTTTAATCCATTTTGAGTTTACTTTTGTGTATGGTGAAAGGAAGTGGTCCAGTTTCATTCTTTTGCACGTAGCTGTCTGGTTTTCCCAACACCATTTGGTGAAGAGACTGTCTTTTTCCCATTGGGTATTCTTTCCTGCTTTGTCAAAGATTAATTGTGGGTTTATTTCTGGATTTTCTGTTCTGTTCTATTGATCAGTGTATCTAGTTTTGTGCCAGTACCATACTATTTTGATTACTACAGCTTTATAATATTACTTCAAGTCCAGAACGGTGATGCCTCCAGCTTTGCTTTTCTTTTTCAAAATTGCTTTGGCGGGGTGCCTGGGTGGCTCAGGTGTTAAGTGTCTGCCTTCAGCTCAGGTCATGATCCCGGTGTCCTGGGATCGAGCCCCGCGTCGGGCTCCCTGCTCAGCAGGAAGCCTGCTTCTCCCTCTCCCATTCCCCCTGCTTGTGTTCCCTCTCTTGCTGTGTCTCTGTAAAATAAATTAATAAAATCTTTTTTAAAAATTGCTTTGGCTATTCAGGGTCTTTTGTGGTTCCAAACAAGTTTTAGGATTGTTTGTTCTAACTCTGTGAAAATTGCTGTTGGTATTTTGATAGGGATTGCTTTGAATGTGTAGATTGCTTTGGGTGTATGGATATTTTAACAATGTTTGTTCTTCCAATCCATGAGCATGGAATATCTTTCCATTTGTTTGTGTCATCTTCAATTTCTTTCATCAGTATTTTATAGTTTTCAGAGTACTGGTCTTTCACCTCCTTGGGTAAGTTCATTCCTATGTATTTTATTATTTTTGGCATGCCTGTAAATGGGATTGTTTTCTTAGTTTCTCTTTCTGCTGCTTCATTATTAGGGTATAGAAATGCAAAGGATTTTGTACATGGATTTTGCATTCTGTGACCCTACTGAATTAATTTATCAATTCTAGTAGTTTTTTGGTGGAGTCTTTAGGGTTTTCTATATATAGTATCATGTCATTTGCAAATAGTGAAAGTTTTACTTCTTCCTTACTAGTTTGGATGCCTTTTATTCCTTTTTCTTGTCTGATTGCAGTGGCTAGGACTTCCAGTACTATGTTGAACAAAAGTGGTGAGAGTGGACATTTCTGTCTTGTTCCTGATCTTAGGGAAAAAACCCTCAATTTTTCACCACTGAATATGATGTAGCTGTGGGTTTTTCATATATGTGGGTTTTTTATTATGTTGAGGTACATTCCCTCTAGACCTACTTTGTTGAGTGTTTTTATCATGAATGGATGTTGTACATTGCCAAATGTTATATATTTGTATATGTTGAAATGATTATATGGTTTTTATTTTTTCTCTCATTGATGTGATGTCTCATGTTAATTGATTTGTGACTATTGACTCACATTTGCATCCCAGGGATAAATCTCATTTGATCGTGGTGAGTGATTTTTTTTAATATATTGTTGGATTTGGTTTCCTAATATTTTGTTGAGGATTTTTGCATCTATGTTCATCAGAGATACTGGCCTGTAGTTCCCTTTTTTTGGTCATGTCTTTATCTGGTTTTGGTATCAGGGAAATGCTGGCCTCATAGAATGAATTTGAAAGTTTTCCTTCCTTTTCTATTTTTTGGAATAGTTTGAGATGAACAGGTATTAACTGTTCTTTAAATGTTGGTAGAATTCAGCTGTGAAGCTGTCTGATCCTAGACTTTTGTTTGTTGGGAGCTTTTTGATTATGATTTGATTTCATTGCTGGTAACTGGCTTGTTCAAATTTCCTCTTTCTTCCTGTTTCTTCATGTTTCTAGGAATTTATTCATTTCTTCTACACTGTCCAATTTGTTGGCATGAAATTTTTCATAATATTCTCTTACAATCCTCTGTATTTCTATGGTGTCAGTTGTTATTTCTCTTCTTTCATTTTTTATCTGGAGTCCTCTCTCTCTCTCTCTCTCTCTCTCAGTCTGGCTAAAGGTTTATCAATTTTGTTGATTTTTTTCAAAGAACCAGCTCCTGGTTTCATTGATCTGGTCTATTGGGGTTTTTTTGTTTTTGTTTGTTTGTTTCTATTTTATTTATCTCTGCTCTCATCTTTTTTATTTCCTTCCTTCTACTGATTTGGGGTTTTATCTGTTCTTTTTCTAGCTTCTTTAGGTATAAGGTCAGGGTTTTTATTTGAGATTTTTCTTGCTTCTTGAGGGAGTCCTGTATTGCTATAAACTTCCCTCTCAGAATAGTTTTTGCTGCTTACCAAAGATTTTGGACCATTGTGTTCTCGTTTTCATTTGTCCCCATCATTGTTTTTTCATTAATAAACTTTTTTAAATTTAATTTTATTTTATTATGTTATGTTAGCACCATACAATACCCATGATCCATTGTCCATTGAATAAACTTCTGATGAGACCTTTGGTGGTGAACAGACTGTGGTGGTCCCCATGATCTCCACACCCTGTCATTCACACACTTGTATGATCTCCCTGTATGGGCAAGACCTGCAGTTTGCTACTAATGGAATATGGCAAAGGTGATGACATATATGTGATTACATGTTTGTAAGTACTTTAGATTTCCGTGGCCATCTTGCTGGAGTCTGTCTCTCCCTTAATCACTTGAAGGAAGTAAGCAGTCATTTGGGGTATCTCATATGGCCAAAAACTGTGAGTGGCTTCTAGAGTCTAGGGGTGACCTCTGGCTAGCAAGGAACTGAAGCCCTCAGTCTACAACCTCAAGAAACTGAATTCTGCCAATGACCTGAGTTTGGAAGTAGACTTTTCCCCAGTCAAGACTCAGATGAGACCACAGCCTCACAGCTCGATTGCAGGTAAGCTATTCTCAGACTCCTGATCCACAGAAACTGTGAGATAATAAATGTGTATTGTTTTAAGCCGTTAAGTTCACTGTAATGTTGTCACCCAGTAATGGATAATCAACACGCTCTTCCATCAAAGCTGTTCATCATATAACACATGGGTCGTGATGTCTACCCATGTCCTGAGAAGCCTAATCCAAACTGCCTGTGTAGATATTTGCCTTCTTTGCAAGGATTCAAGACACCTGTAGACCCCTTCCTCCACTGATCATAGGTGAGGTCTTTGGTACCGAGAGAGGCTATGGTTGAAGAGAAGGGAAAGCCTCCAGCTCCAGCACTTGGGTGGATCTAGACAGCAGTGAGGCTCAGTGTTATTACAGATGTATCTAGCAAATATGGGCCCATGTAAAAACTAATGTGGACTGCACTGACATGCAGTATCAAGATTCTCTTCCTTTTCCCTGTGAGCAGAGAAAGTGGTTTGGGCTAAGCAAGGACTAGATTCTTTTTTTTTAAGATTTTATTTTTTAAAAATAATCTCTACATACAACGTGGGGGTCGAGCTCACAACCCCGAGATCAAGAGTCACACACTCTACCAACCAAGCTGGCCAGGTGCCCCTAGGACAAGGTTCTTTGTAAAAGTGGGAACGATACATAAGCTTACCAAAGAAAGAGTGTGTAGGAAGGTGTCTGCCTTTGAGAATGCAGTTTGCATATTCCGGATGGCATCCAGAGGTTCCCAAGATGTTGGCCCTGAGAGCCTGCCTCTTGGTAACTAGGGATCTGATTTTGGTATTCAGATTAAAGACTTGAGCCCAGACAACATTCACAGCCCTTCAGAGCCCACTCTTTCCCACAGGACCTCTCTCTTTCCTCTTCCCCATCTCCTTTTCCAATCACCTCTCCTGAAACCTGCCTTTAGTCCAGCTGGTGGGTGGCTAACTTGAGGCAAGAGTTCCACTGCAACAGCATTTCTCCGGCTGGAGACTGATCTGGAACCAGTCTGTTGGAATTTGGCTGGTGACCTCGGACCCCGAGAACAATTAGGTGCCCCCTCCTCAAACAGGCATCAGGGCCCCGAGCTGTGCTTTGGTGTCATGAGTACAGATTCACCAAGGACAGTATGACCAATTGTTGGCATTTACAGACGTTGTGTGTTAGGGCTTTGAGAAATTTTTAAAGATGTTTTTTCCTCGCTTTGATATTTATTTCACCTGAATGAGAATGTTGGCAAGTGCTTCTACATCCAGGATTAACTGTTGTTGGTGCCAGAAAGAAAGCGACATTTTGGATTTGGATACTAAGCAAGACTGTTCTAAGCTTCTTTATCCTTTTCGTGTGGGCCGAGCACTGACTTAGCATCTCCTTAATCAGCAAAAGAGAATTCACCAAAGGACACAGCGCCCCAGGGTTACTATATGCTTTTTATATAACTGATGACAGCGTTTATAATTTTCAGGGAGCATGGGAAAGAGAAAAACTTCTTATCAAAAAACATCAAGGACCCATGAAAGCCATCTTCCACATGATACCACATCACGGGGACCCCCTGTTCCTCCAAACGCTTCATATAGAGCAAGGTGTCATCGCGGAGGATGTCATGCTCACAGCTCACCAGGAAGGCTGCAGGAAGCTGAGTGATGGTCTCATCATCCCTTAGCAGAGGGGTATTTGCCACATCCAAAAGATGTCCATTTTCCAGGTAGGTGGCCTCGTTAAAAGGGCTGGGAAACAGAGGTTTGTAGCCTGGTTTTTTGAATCTCCTGGGGATGTTGTTGGGGCTGAGCCACTTTTAGTACTTTCTCCAGACTTCCGGGGGTATGAAAGCACCGTTCAAGATGGCATCCCACCAATGAAAGTAGACAACCATATATTTGAACATACATATCATCATGAACTCCTGGGAGGGAGAACAGGATGTTTCAGTTTTGCCAGTGGGACGGCAGCTGCAAATCGACGACCTGAGTCACTGGATAAATCAGGACCTGGGCCCTGATCTGGGGAAGATCTGATCTTCCCACCAGGGACTGGGTGACAGAGGCCACACTCCCACCCCCAATGCTGTCTCCACAGATCATGACCCGGAGGGGTCCACCCCATAGGTTTTCAGGGCCTTCAGGAAGTGAATAGAGGTGTGCAGGCAGTCTTGGAAAATTCTGGGGTAGTGGTGATCAGGAAGCTGGCAGTACCTGAGGAACAAGCAGGGAACAAAAGCATAGCGGTGTGGACAGCTGTTTGGGAGCCATTTTAACTGTGTCCTCAACTCCTCCTTGCAATACTGTCTCCGACTAAATACCCAGAATGGCCCTGTGAGGTAAGGATTTTTATCCCCCTTTTTTTTCTTTTGCAGATGAGGATGTGAAGAGCCTCTCCTTTGTCTTCCGGGTGGAGATTCTGGACTCGAACACTAGGCTCTGTCTGCTGTCCAGAGATGCAGACACTCCACACAAGATTATGCAACTCAAAAGCTATTTGAAATGGAAGCAAAACAACCAGGAACTCCAGGAAATTCGTTCGTCCCACTGGCTGTCTGGAGAGAAAGCGCTGAGGGAACTAAAGCTCAAATGAAGGGGAAGTTCCTTTCAGGAAAAAAATTTTTTTTTCATCAAAAATCTAATGACCAAGGTTTGTTCTTGCCCAGTGACTTAAGGAGCTGCCTTCTCTTCGGGGTTTGCGGAAGACGGAGTGGGTCGGAGGGCGCCCTGAGGGTGACAGTGTAGGAAAGGTTAGCAGGCAGGTAACAGACACTGCCCTGGTGGTGGACAGAATCCAGACGGCTGCTCTGAGTAAGCCCCCAAAGTGTGTCTCTTCATGGGAATTCAAGGGCAAAGAGAAAGGACTTTAAAATGAATTTCTAAATGTGTAAATTACAGTAAAGTATTATTCAGCCATCAGAAGGAAGGAAATCCTTTTAGAGAGAGAGAGCATGAGAGCAATGGTGGGAGAGGCAGAGGGAGAAGGAGAGAGAATCATAAGCAGGCTCCACGCTCAGCACAGAGCCCAACACGGGGCTCGATCTCACAACCCTGAGATCATGACCTGACCTGAAATCAAGAGTTGGATGCTTAATGGATTGAGCCACCCAGGCGCCCCCTGGGTCTTTTCACTATCCAGAATTTCCTGCAAGGTATTCATACAGGTGTTTGTTAACACTTTTATGTGTCCAATGAGTATTTTCATTACCACAAAGGCCTTCTCAGATGTAGAGTCTGACAGAAACTGTATCAGTGGGGTTTCAGACCCAGTGCTAAGCCGGTCAGGAAGTATGTCAAGTACCGGAAAGATGCTGCCTTCCTCAATCTCATCAAGAAGACCGGAGATGCTAAGTAAGCTGCTTTAAGTCACACAGATGCGCCGTCTCCTCAGCCTGGGGGCAGCCAAGGTTGGAGAGGCCTTGAGTGTCAAGGTTGAATCTAAAAGAGCGGTTTTTAGTTTCTCTCACCTGCCTTCTCAAAACTGTTGCCCAGGGTCTTCTTGTGTCTTGAGACCCTCCAGGAATTGGTCCCTGCAGCTAGTTAGTTAGTTGTTGTAACAACACAGTACCCACGTGCAGAGTCATCACCCCAAACAACAGCCAGGACCTTGACCATCACCTTCAGCCAGCCCTGTAATATCCCTGCCAGCATCTCACCTCACTGGTTTCCTCATCTGAGGAAACAGTTACCTTGAATCCTGTAACCAACCACCATCCCTTTTCATTCCTTTTTATATAGGTTTATAATGTCTATGCATATTCCTTATAAATACTCTTTTGATTTTGTTTTTGATTTGATAAAAAGGGTCTCAGGCTTTATGTAATTTTTTGAAAACCTTTTCCCTTAATTTTATACTGCTAAGATGCATTCACATTCTGGTGTGTCCTCCCAGTTCATTTATTTAAATAGCTATGTAATGTTAATAAAAGAAAGGATAAGAACCATATGATCCTGTCAATGGATGCAGAAAAAGCATTTGACAAAATACAGTATGCTTTCTTTTTTTTAATTTTTTTTAAAGATTTTACTTATTTATTTGACAGAGAGAGCACAAGCAGGGGAGCAGGAGAGGGAGAAATAGTTTCCCCACTGAGCAGGGAGCCCGATGCGGGGCTCGATCCCAGGACCCTGGGATCATGACCTGAGCCGAAGGCAGACGCTTAACGAACTGAGCCACCCAGGCACCCCTACAGTATCCTTTCTTAATAAAAAACTCTCAACAAAGTAGGGATAGAGGGAACATACCTCAACATCATAAAGGCCATATATGAAAGACCCACAGCTAATATCATCCTCAATAGGGAAAAACTGAGAGCCTTTCCGCCACAATCAGAAACAAGACAGGAGGGGTGTCTGGGTGGCTCAGTCGTTAAGCATCTGCCTTCAGCTCAGGTCATGATCCCAGGGTCCTGGGAACAAGCCCCGCATTGGGCTCCCTGCTCAGTGGGAAGCCTGTTTCTCCCTCTCCCACTCCCCCTGCTTGTGTTCCCTCTCTCGCTGTGTCTTTCTCTGTCAAATAAATAAATAAAATCTTAAAAAAAAAAAAAAAAAAACAAGACAGGAATGTCCACTCTCCCCATTAGTATTTAACATAGTACTGGAAGTCTTAGCCTCAGCAATCAGAAAACAAAAAGAAATAAAAGGCATACAAATTGGCAAGGAAGAAGTCAAACTTTCACTATTTGCAGATGACATGATACTCTATGTATAAAACCTGAAAGACTCCACCAAAAAATTGCTAGAACTAATACATGAATTCAGCAAAGTTGCAGGATATAAAATCAATGTGCAGAAATCTGTTGCATTTCTACACACCAATAATGAAGAACAGAAAAAGAAATCAAGGAATTGATCTCATTTGCAATTGCAATTGCACTAAAACAATAAGATACCTAGGAATAAACCTAACTAAAGAGGTAAAAGATCTGTACTCTGAAAACTATAGAGCACTTATGAAAGAAATTGAAGAGGACACAAAGAAATGGAAAAGCATTCCATGCTCATGTACTGGAAGAACAAACATTGTTAAAATGTCTATACTGCCCAAAGCAATCTGCACAGTTAATGTAATTCATATCAAAACACCAACAGCATTTCTCACAGAGCTAGAACAAACAATGCTAAAATTTGTGTGGAACCACAAAAGACCCTGAATAGCCAAAGAAATCTTGAAAAAGAAAGGAAAGCTGGTGGCATCACAATCCCAGACTTCAAGCTCTATTACAAAACTGTAGTCATCAAGACACTATGGTACTGGCACAAAACCAGACACATAGATCAATGGAACAGAACAGAGAACCCAGAAATGGACCCACAACTCTATGGCCAACTCATCTTTGACAAAGCAGGAAAGAATGTCCAATGGAAAAAAGAAGTCTCTTCAACAAATGGTTTTGGGAAAACTGGATAGCCACATGCAGAAGAATGAAACTGGACCACTTTCTTATGCCATACACAAACATAAGTTCAAAATGGATGAAAGACCTAAATGTGAGACAGGAAACCGTCAAAATCCTAGAGCAGAACACAGGCAGCAACCTCTGTGACCTCGGCCATAGCAACTTACCAGATACATTGCTGGAGGCAAGGCAAGCAAAAGCAAAAATGAACTATTGGAACTTAATCAAGATAAAAAGCTTCTGCACAGCGAAGCAAACAATCAACAAAACTAAAAGGCAGCCTACAGAATGGAAGAAGATATTTGTAAACGACGTATTTGATAAAGGGTTAGTATCCAAAATGTATATAGAACTTATCAAACTCAACACCCAAAAGACAAATAACCCAGTTAAGAAATGGGCAGAAGGCATGAATAGACACTTTTCCAAAGAAGACATCCAGAATTCTTACAGACACATGAAAAGATGCTCAATATCACTCATCATCAGAGAAATACAAATCAAAACCACGATGAGGGGCGCCTGGGTGGCTCAGTTGGTTAAGCGACTGCCTTCAGCTCAGGTCATGATCCTGGAGTCCCGGGATTGAGTCCCGCATCAGGCTCCCTGCTCGGCAGGGAGTCTGCTTCTCCCTCTGACCCTCTTCCCTCTCGTGCTCTCTATCTCTCATTCTCTCTCTCTCAAATAAATAAATAAAATCTTAAAAAAAAAAAAAAACCATGATGAGATACCACCTGACTGAAATTAACAACACAAGAAACAACAGGTGTTGGCAAGGATGTGGAGAAAGGGAAAACCTGCTGCACTGTTGGTGGAAATGTGAACTGGTGCAGCCACTCTGAGAACAGTCTGAAGTTTCCTCAAAAAGTTAAAAATAGAACTACCCTATGATCCAGCGATTGCACTCCTAGGTATTTACCCAAAGGATACAAAAATACAGATTCAAAGGGGGTACATGCACCCCAGTGTTTATAGCAACAGTATCAACAATAGCCAAACTATAGGAGAGAGCCCAAATGTCCATCTACTGATCAACAGATAAGGAAGATGTGGTATATATATATATATATATATATATATACACAGGAGAATATTATTCAGCCTTAAAAGGGAATGAAATCTTGCCATTTGCAATGACATGGATGGAGCTAGAGAGTATAACACTAAGTGAAATAAGTCAGTCACAGAAAGACAAATACCATATGATTTCACTCAAATGTGGAATTTAAGAAACAAAACAAATGAGCAAAGGGGAAAAAAAGAGAGAGAGGCAAACAGAAACAGACTCTTGATTATAGAGAACAAACTGATGGTTACCAGAGGGGAGGTGGGCAGGGGGATGGGGAATAGAGGGTGGGGATTAAGGAGAGCTCTTGTCATGATGACACCCGGTGATGGTATAGAAGTGTTAAATCACTATATTGTACACCTGAAACTAATAGTACACTGTATGTTAACTAACTGGAACTTAAATAAAAACCTTTTTTAAAAAGGAAAAAAGTCTGTTTTTTGGTCTCTTTTTTTTCCCCTTTGTTCATTTGTTTTGCTTCTTAAATTCCACATATGATTGAAATCCTATGGTATTTATCTTTCTCTGACTGGCTTATATTGCTTAGCATTACTCTCTAGCTCCATCCACATTGTTGCACATGGCAAAATTTCATTCTTTTTAGAGAGAGGGAGGCAAACCATAAGAGACTCAATGATAGAGAACAAACTGAAGGTTGATGGAGGGGAGGTGGGTGGGGACAGGCTAGATGGGTGATGGGTATTAAGGAGGGCACTTGTGATGAGCACTGGGTGTTATATGTAAGTGATGACTCACTAAGTTAAAAAAATTAAAAATTAAAAAAAGATGCCCTTCCTTTTTATGGATAAATAATATTCCATTGTATATATATGCCACATCTTTATCCATTCCTCTATCGATGGACACTCAGGTTGTTTCCATAATTTGGCTCTTGTAAATAATGCTGCAGTAAACACAGGGGCGCATATATCCTTTCAAATTAGTGTTTTCCTATTCCTTGGGTAAATACCCAGGAGTACAATTACTAGATCATGGGGTAGTTATATTTTTAATTTTTTGAGGAACCTCCGCCCTGTCTTCCACAGTGGCTGCACCAGTTTGCGTTCCCACCAACAGTGTGGAAGGGTTATTTTTTCTCCACATCCTCGCCAACACTTGCTGTTTCTTGTCATGGTTTATTCACGCACTCCGTGTTGATGGGCATTTGGGCTGTTTCTGGGGTTTTGCCCTTTTGAACAGTGCGGTGCCTGGGTCCATGTGTGCATGTGCAAGAGTGCCTCTTGGGGGTTAGGGCCTCTCTCTCTCTTCTACAGACCAGCCACGTGCTCCTTCCTGCCTTCTCCCACCCATGTGACACCCACTGACTTTCTCCAGCGACTCACCCAACCAACAGCAGCACGGAGTCCATCTCTAGGACCAGCAGACTGCACAGGTTGTGGTAGAAGTCTGCAAGAATAGAACCAGTCCGATGTACAGGTCTGTGATTCAACAGTCTTACACAAATGGGGCGCCTGGGTGGCTCATTCATTAAGTGTCTGCTTTCAGCTCAGGTCACGATCCCAGGGTCCTGGGATCGAGCCCCGCATCGGGCTCCCTACTTGGCAGGAAGCCTGCTTCTCCCTCTCCCACTCGCCCAGCTTGTGTTCCCTCTCTCACTGTTTCTCTCTGTCAAATAAATAAATAAAATCTTTAAAAAACAACAACAACAACAAAAACAGTCTTACACAATTCATAGCGCTCACCATAGCACATACCCTTCCCAATGTCTATCACCCAGCCACCCCATCCCTCCCAACCCCCACCACTCCAGCAACCAGAGGGGGAGACGAACCATGAGAAACTATGGACTCTGAGAAACAAACTGAGGGTTCTAGAGGGGAGGGGGGTGGGGGGATGGGTTAGCCTGGTGATAGGTATTAAGGAGGGCACATACTGAATGGAGCACTGGGTGTTATACGCAAACAATGAACCATGGATCACCACATCAAAAACTAATGATGTACTGTATGGTGATTAACATAACATAAAAAAAAAAAAGAATAGAACCGGTCACAGCAGGAGCCACCCTGAGTGGCCTCTAGGAATGTGGACCCCAGTCCCCCTTGCAGGGCCCAGCCCTGCTCTGCCCCCTCCCACCCATCCCCCAGCCCCCAGGGAGAGCCCACCAGCAGTGTTGGCTTTGGTTGTGACATTCTCTTTCTGTTCCTGTTCTTGCCTCCTCTGCAGTGACTCTGGCTGGCTCTGCTGGGCAAAACCAAAAAGCTAGGCCACATATCAGATGCCTGACATCTGCCCCTGGCTCCTGAATGCCGGGGCTCCAGTGCACCTCGGGGCTCACCAGCTGCAACGTCTCCTTTTACAGTGTTGTGGTGGGGGGACTGAGGGGGGAAGGCTTGGTGATTTGAAACCTACAAAACCAAGACCAGGGAAGGAAAGCATGCCTGCCCTAGAATATTAATGATAATTACATACACGTGCATACAGATATATTATTAAGAAATAAGCAATGGTTGGATGGGCCCTTTCTATTAGCCAAGTGGTACCTCTGAGGCTCTCAGAGGACAAATCCGTTATCAACAGTGCCAAACACAGAATGTACCAAACAAGCCTCTAATTCAGTGGTTGTCAACCTTGGCTGTGCATAGTTGTACCAGGGAGTTTTTCCAAGTCCTGATGCTCAGATGGAGCCCCAAACCAACCGAACCAGTGTCTCTGGGGTAGGGGCACAGGTAGCAGGAGTTTCCAAATCCCACCAGTCAAGGCCAGCATCTAGGGAGGTTGTGAATGACTGATCTGACTAAGAGAAGTGATTGGGGGCGGGGTGCAGACTTCATTGACACCGTTTGAGGGAGGTGATGGAGGGGAGGTCAAAACGGAGTGGGGAGTGGGCAGCTCCTAAGGAGGCCTCAGCCCTGCCTGCAGATCAGCATCATCTGGGAGCTCCCTTCCACTTAGACTTAACAGGGCTGGGACCCAGGGGAGGCAAGGGAGGCACTTGCCATGGGCGCCGAGATGCTCAGCAACCAAGATAAATACTACTTTAAGGAATCCAAGTAAATGCCACAAGTATCCATGATGTCTCAAGTAGACAAGGGCCTACTTTGCCTTTGTACAATTCACCCACCCCATCGGGTCTCGCCATTAGATAAATGTTGATATTGTGATCATCATAGATTTGTTTTGCATTAATATTGAATTTTCTAAAATAGTGCATAAAAATATTATTTATCTTGAAGACTGTGTTTCTTGGTGCCCCTTTCAAAAAAACAAAAACCCCGGCGACCCCCTTGCATCCCCCATCCCTAGAGGATGTTTCCCAGCCTCTATAGGGCCAGCTCCTCCTCATTGGTTGGTTAGGCCTGGGCTCAAATTTTACCTTTTTGGAGAGGCTTTCTCTGGAAAAACTAAAGATGCATCTGAATCATTCTCTATTCCATCTCCTCGTGCTATCACTCTGTGAAATTACCCTACTTGTTTGTTTTCTCTTTCACTGCCCAGCCTCCTCATTTGAGTAGGCTCCGTGAGGGCCTTCCTCGTCCTCCATTTGGTCCCCTGTACCTGGAAGGGGGTCTGACACGAGGGAGTTACTCAGGGAATATTTGCTGAATGCGTCCTGGCTTTACTTTTAGAGATAGCATCATGGCCCACAGAAGGAAGGCCAACAGTCCTAGCCAACTAATGGGGTGCTCTGAAAGGGAAGAACGATCTTGGGGCCAGTAGGTGGGAGATAGCCATTGTTAACTTCTGAAAAAGGAGAGCATCTCGGCAGCAAATGAGGCTATTGTTATTTCCACCACCAGGTGGCAGTACACCCTAATTCCAGGGAAGTCACGGGAGTCCAACCATCCGTTCTTCCATTTGTGTGTTCATTCATGAACAACACATCCTTTCACCCAATTGTCCACCTATCCGTATTCATGTACTCATAGAGTCATTCGAAAATGTAAAACCACGGGCAAGGCACTGGGGATGAGGCAGAAAACAAAACACAAGAGAAGCAGGAAGGTCAAGGGGGCAGGCAAGAGAAGATGGGGTCTTAGATCATGGTGGGGTTCAGAGCCTGGGAGAAATGCATGGGTTTGGGATGTACTGTGGGTGGAGAACAGCTAGGACCAGCCAGTGCTGTCTGTGAGTGGTGAGGGAAGAGACGAATCAGTACCCCAGTGCCATCTGTCAAAGCCCTACTGAGACATAGCTCTAGCCTCACCTTGACCAAGACTATTATAGTACAGAAAAGAACATCTCCCATATAAATCTGCACACAATCTGCTGACATGAGCCCAAAGCCCTTAGTCTGGGCTCCCTATAAAAATCTCCAACCGATGATTCCTTTGAGTTACTCCCAAAAAGTTTCTCGTGGGAAGGATGGGCAAAGTTGTGCACATAGATGAAGTTCTTACCGAGGCTCCCCATGAACGCGCTTCCTCCAGGGAAGAAGATGATGCCTCGCCCGCGGCCAGAGGATGCTGCTTTGGGCTGGAACAGCCTCACCGGTATGGTCCCAAAATACAGGTCAGTTACGGTAAGTCTTTCTTTATTCTTATACCACTTTGCAATAACTGGAGAAATCTGAGCATGAAGCAAATTCCCAGCTTCTCCAATATTTTTGCCTGTTGGAGGTAAGAGAAAGAAAGGGGAACTTTAGGAGAGGTCAGGACCCATCTGGATTGTAGATATACCTATCATCTGTAATTGCTATGATGTTTTTGCAGTCTCCCATCTGCCTCATCCACATGGATCCTGGGCTCATCAGGAAGGACAGGTTCTAGGTTTTGTCCAGAGTGAGGGCTTGGTTTGCAGAATTTCCTCCCAAAAGACCTGGATTGAATAAGGGTAGGAATTTGCCAAAGAGCTTGACCATGTTTGGTCTGAGTGGTTGGTCACTGAATTGAACAAAGCCAATTGTCCAAGGTAACTGGCTGGCAACCCTCCTCTTTGGCTCTCTAGCCTCAGATGGCAAAAAGGGTCATCACCTGGGTCAACTGCCATCACCCACCCGGAGCCTGGGCTATGATGGATTCTTAAGCCATGTTTGTGTTCAACAGAAGAAAGTAACAGGATCCATTAAGGATGTCTGCTGTTGACTCAGGAGGACGGGGCAATGGCACAAGGGCCATTCATTTGCCACGTGTGTATAGAATTCCATTGTTTTTAAACTAATATGGTCACTCTAACTATAAACAAATGTCTGAATATATATCATGAAATATAGTTACAAGTTATATTGCATGTACTAAATGCATTTCAACCATTTTGGATCATCTCTTCCAAGGATTTCACATTAAGCACGTGTCTTTGTCATAAGGAAAAAACATGGGATGATAATAGTAAAATAAGAACAGCTGACACTTATGAGTCACCTACAGCATGCCAGTACTGGTCCAAGTGGTTATGAACTAGATTAAGCCTCTCAACAACCCTTCTCAGTCAAGCACAGTTATCACCTCCATTTTATGGATGGGGAAAACTGAGGCAAACCAAGGTCAAGTGCCTTGCCCGCCAACAGGTAAGATGCAGAATATGTGTTCTAAACCACTAAACTAGAAAGAGCTTGGATTCTGGAGTCAATCAGATTGGGACTCAAGTTTTAGCTTATCACCAACTAACTGAATGGCCTTGGGCATTACCTTCTCTGAGCTTCCATTTCTCTCATCTATAAAATAGAATGGTGTCCATAGCCCAAGGATGAGGCTTGGGAATTAGATGTGATGTGACCACCATGTAGAGTGTCTCACTGGTGGGTCCTGGCAAGTGTGAGCTCCACCCCTTCTCTTGCTCATACCCACTGGGTCTTCTCCCAGGTCCCCTGGGATGCCCCAGTGCATTCCCTCCATCGAGAGACCCAAGGCTTTGATTTCTTGAAAGAGAACTCCAAACAAAACCATTATTTCCCTGCTTGAGCTGGAGGAGAATGAGGTGAGCAGCAAGGTGAAGATGACCTGCTTGGCCCCCATCTCAGGCCACCAGACCTCTGTACCGAGACAACTCGGAACTTCACTGGCCAACTCAACTCTGAACGTCAGGACGCCTCTTGTCAGTTCAGGTGGGCTCCCATGCTCACCTCCTCCCCGGCAGTTTCCCCATGCTCCCTGTACTCACCCATGGCTCACACCGTTTCCTGGAGCCCTTCTACCTGCCCACCAGGTAGATGGACATGAAACTGACCTTCAGCTCCAAGCTCAAGGCCATGTTCTCATTTACTGATGTCATCCCTCCCACTCACACTGAAGGCTGCTGCCTCCTTGAGTGCCCCAAGTTTTCTAAGTCCTAAGATTTCTTCAGAACCCCCCAAAGTTTTATCACATAGCTATGGTCACCATGTGTCTCCCTCCCCCAAACTGAATGCTTCTTGTCAGCATTTTGCTTGTCATTACATCTCATTCATCTATTTGCCTCCAGCATCTAGAAGAGTAAATGTTTCAGGGATTTTGAACAAGACAGTGTGATGACAAGACTTTCTTAGCATGACCTTCTGAAAGGTCACTAGATATGGCCAGGAAGTTAGTTTTGGTTTGGTGTGGTTTTTTCCAACCGTGAGTCCATAGTTTCCAGAGCTGGTCATTTAGGACAAAGGCAAGTGAAGAAAAATTAATACTTATTATTACTTATAACGATATCATTTATAGATAACTATAATAAATATATTGCTTATATATAAATATTATCATTATAATATTAATACTATATTACTATAGTTGTATTATAAAATTTATAATAATGTATCAGTAGTAGTATAAATGGGAGCATCAATAGGTTAGGGACACCCGAGGTCCAGAACTTTAGAGATTGAAACACTTTCACAAAATATTCTAGCAGCATTTCCCCTTTAAAATAAAATCAATAATGTTTGTTATATTGTTCTTTAAATCCTTTAGTAAAGCTGAAATCATTCATAACAACTCCAAAATTATTACGGAATAATTTCAGGAAATGTTCTGTCTTTGTCTTCAGGCACTTGACATGCATACTACCAATAATCTACTTTCACTGAGCCCTTTCTAAGTGCCCAGCACTGTGTCACGAACTTAATATGCATTTCCCAGTCAATCCCCTCATGACCCCTATAAAAAGCATCTCTTACTATCCTCATTTTTCAGAGGAAAAAAATGGAGGCTCAAAGACATCAGGCCACAAAGCTAACAAGTGGGAAACTTGGGGCTCAGACCAAGGATTCTCTGATACCAAAAGAAGGCACCTGATTTCTAGGCCATAAAATCTTTTCAGGGTGGGGCGCCTGGGTGGCTCAGTCATTGAGGGTCTGCCCTTGGCTCAGGTCCTGACCTCAGGGTCCTGGGATCGAGCCCTGTGTCTGGCTCCCTGCTGAGCAGGAAGGCTGCTTCTCCCTCTGCCTCTCCCCCTGCTTGTGTTCCCTGTCTTGCTGTCTCTGTCAAATAAATAAATAAAATCTTTTAAAAAAAAATCTTTTTAGATTTTTCCTCCTCTTTAAATTTCTTATCCCTCCTGTATCTGTCTTCCAGAACCGAGTGAACCCTAACCACTTGGACATCATTATCTTCAGGAGCAGCACCCTGTGACAGGCAGTGTGTCCTAGGGGCATCCAGCCAGTGCTGGACAGACCAGGATGGGACGTCACAAGTGTCTTCAGATCTGTGAACCAACTCGGAAGCCTCTGTGAAGATGGAGTGGGAGGCCAGCAGGGGGAGCCCTCCGGAGGTGCAGCTCCTTGTCAATTGCAGACCAACGGGAAGACTTAGCTCAACTTTTTTTTTTATCTTCTTCTGTTATGTTAATCACCATACATTACATCATTAGTTTTTGATGTAGTGTTCCATGATTCATTGTTTGCATATAACACCCAGTGTTCCATTCAATATGTGCCCTATTTAATACCCATCACCAGGCTAACCCTTCCCCCCACCCCCCTCTCCTCCAGAACCTTCAGTTTGTTTCTCAGAGTCCATAGTTTTTCATGGTTCGTCTCCCCCTCTGATTTCCCCACCTTCATTTTTCCCTTCCTACTGTCATATTTTTTTTTTTAACATATAATGTATTATTTGTTTCAGAGGTACAGGTCTGTGATTCATTAGTCTTATGCAATTCACAGTGCTCCTCATAGCACATACCCTCCCCAATGTCTATCACCCAGCCACCCCATCCCTCCCACCCCCCACCACTCCAGCAACCCTCAGTTTGTTTCCTGAGATTAAGAATTCCTCAGATCAGGGGTGCCTGGGTGGCTCATTCGTTAAGCATCTGCCTTCAGCTCAGGTCATGATCCCAGGGTCCTGGGAACGAGCCCCGCATCAGGCTCCCTGCTCTGAGGGAGGCCTGCTTCTCCCTCTCCTACTCTCCCTGCTTGTGTTTCTGATCTCGCTCTCTCTCTCTCTGTCAAATAAATAAAATCTTTAAAAAAAAGAATTCCTCAGATCAGTGAGGTCATATGATACATGTCTTTCTCTGATTGACTTATTTCACTCAGCATAATACCCTCCAGTTCCATTCACGTCGTTGCAAATGGCAAGATCTCATTCCTTTTGGTGGCTGCATAATATTCCATTGTGTATATATACCACATCTTCTTTATCCATTCATCTGTTGATGGACATCTTGCTCTTTCCATAGTTTGGTTATTGTGGACATTGCTGCTATAAACATTGGGGTGCACGTACCCCTTTGGATCACTACATTTGTATCTTTGGGGTAAATACCCAGTAGTGCAATTGCTGGATCGTATGGTAGCTCTATTTTCAACTTTTTGAGGAAACTCCATACTATTTTCCAGAGTGGCTGTACCAGCTTGCATTTCCACCAAAAGTGTAGGAGGATTCCCCTTTCTCCGCATCCTCACCAACATCTGTCGTTTCCTGACTTGTTAATTTTAGCCATTCTGACTGGTGTGAGGTGGTATCTCATTGAGGTTTTGATTTGGATTTCCCTGATGCCGAGCGATGTGGAGTATTTTTGTGTCTGTTGGCCATTTGGATGTCTTCTTTGGAAAAATGTCTGTTCATATCTCCTGCCCATTTCCTGATTGGAGTATTTGTTCTCTGGGTGTTGAGTTTGATAAGGTCTTTATAGATTTTGGATAATAGCCATTTATCTGATATGTCATTTGGAAATATCCTCTCCCATTCTGTCGGTTGTCTTTTGGTTTTGTGGACTGTTTCCCTTGCTGTGCAAAAGCTTATTTTCTTGATGAAGTCCCAATAGTTCATTTCTGCCCTTGCTTCCCTTGCCTTTGGCAATGTTTCTAGGAAGAAGTTGCTGCGGCTGAGGTTGAAGAGATTGCTGCCTGTGTTCTCCTCTAGGATTTTGATGGACTCCTGTCTCACATTTAGGTCTTTCAACCATTTGGAGTCTATTTTTGTATGTGGTGTAAGGAAATGGTCCAGTTTCATTCTTCTGCATGTGGCTGTCCAATTTTCCCAACACCATTTGTTGAAGAGACTGTCTTTTTTCCATTGGACATTCTTTCCTGCTTTGTCAAAGATGAGTTGACCATAGAGTTGAGGGTCCATTTCTGGGCTCTCTATTCTGTTCCACTGATCTATGGGTCTGTTTTTGTGCCAGTACCATATTGTCTTGATGATTACAGCTTGGTAATAGAGCTTGAAGTCCGGAATTGTGATGCCACCAGCTTTGCTTTTCCTTTTCAACATTCCTCTGGCTATTCGGGGTCTTTTCTGGTTCTATACAAATTTTAGGATTATTTGTTCCATTTCCTTGATAAAAGTTGATGGTATTTTTTTTTTTTGGATACAACAATAGAAATTTATTTGCTCATACTTCTGGAGGCTGGAAGTTCAATATTAAGGTGTTGGCAGGTTTGATTTCTCCTGAGATCTCCGCGGTTTGCAGATGGCCTCCTTCCTGCTCTGTCCTCACATGGCCTTTTCTCTGATGCATGCCTCCCTAGTGTCCCTTCTTCTTCTTCTTGTAGGACACCAGTCCTATTGGGTTGGAGCCTTACTTTATGACCTCACTGAACATTAATTACCTTCATTTTTTCTTTAATTTTTTTATTGTTAGGTTAATCACCATACATTACATCATTAGTTTTTGATGTAGTGTCCCATGATTCATTGTTTGTGCGTAACACCCAGTGCTCCACGCAGATCGTGCCCTCTTTAATACCCATCACCAGGCTAACCCATCCCCCACACCCCTCCCCTCTAGAACCCTCAGTTTGTTTTTCAGAGTCCATCATCTCTC